AACCAGCATAGGAAGCTCCATGACAGTTCTGAGCCTCAAGAAGGCTCAGGAAGGCCCAAAAGCTCCCACCTTTGCCCCTTAGGGAGCTCTGAGCTGCCCTGTAAGAAGTCAGGCGTTGCTAGAGATACCTCACGGAGAGACCAGATGAAGAGGCCACGTGGAGAGGGAAAAGCTCCAGGACTACATCATTTCCAGCCAAGCCTAACCTTGCAGTCACCCCACCAACGCACCAGGCATATGAATGAGGCCATCGTGAATGTTCCAGCATCAGCCACCTTCTTACTGTAGCCACATGAAAAACCCAAGCAAGACCGCAGAGCACCCATCCAATGAACCTCAGTCAACCCACAGATGCATGAGAAATAATAAACTGGTTGTTGTTTTAAGCCATGATGTCTTGGGATGGTTGTTATCTAGCAACAGATAACTGAAAAAGCAGCAAGAGAATTAAAGGGATTCTGGCCATGTAAGACAGCTTACTTTTTCTATCCTCTGCACAGCCAACAACAGCTTTGCCATCAGTCCTCTTCCCTAAACACAGACCATGACATTGCTAACCAAGTTTTCACCTTCTTAGAGAAACTCTTTAAATCAGACTGCCGTTAGAGCCAAGTGCATCCATGGGACAAAGGATCCTAATAGAAACTGATGTTTAAAAGAGTTAGGTATCCAAATGCATTATTGTTGCTGCTGCTGCTGCTACACTGACTTCTCCGGCTGGTGAACATACGGCAGTTGCTCCTCAGAGCTAACTTGCCAACAGAAGGTCAAAACACCCTGCCTAAACACAAGACTTACAAATTTGGGATCTTAAGTATGATGTCATGTCTTAAAATGATAAGCTGGCAAAGAAAATAAATGGCATTTTGTAAAGATGTGCACCGTTTTCATGTTTACGCTACTTAAGATGAAGGTTCTAATAAGTCATCGGCTATGTTCCTTTAAAGGGAAGTTTTATAACTGAGATGAATCACAACTGCAAAAGATCAAAGTTAAAAAACATCAATGATGCCATGGGGTACTTTTTAATCTTGTAATGAGTGATGATCATGTGCTCTTATGAAGTTAGTCCAACTGCCAACGCCAGATGTGTATATTAAGAAGAGAAGTTGTTTGTGATGTGACAGCACCGGTTCAGCTGCCAGAGACAGAAAACATAGAAGGATAAAACCTTTCTGATTTTTTAGTGAAAAGCAAGTTTTGGCAGATGTGTTGATAAGCAGGGCCTCAGAGGGGGTACTAGGGCCATAGCATCCTCTCCTGGACTTTTCCTTGCTGCAAACAAAGTATGTTTATCATCAGTTCTGCACAGCTGTCTCCAGGCAGCATGAATACCTGCTCAAGACACAATTTATAACACTTATCAGTGTCATTTACTAATAAGCAGAAATTAGTAAAGCCATCTGCAAGAAACAAATAATTCACTAGGGGACAGAATCTAGATGGTATCTATTTCCTGGAAGCCTACTATAAGCAAAACTTACAACAAGCTTCTGACACTGAAGGAAATTGCTGTAATAAAAACTAACACTTAATGAGCACCTACTACATGACAGTCACTGCACTATGAATTTTACATATACTGTATCATGTAACATCTTTGCAGCAACTGATGAAGAAGATACTATTACTTTTATTATTCTCATTTGAACAGATGAGCAAACAGGAAAAGAGAAGCTGGGTAACTTGCCTACTACCATACGACTAGTCCACAGAGCTGGGATTTCAGTGAAGAAGATGGACACCAAAGCCCGCTCTCTTAACCACTATGCTATGCTGAATAAAAGCCCAGCCAGTTAACCCAGAACTTGTCCTTGTTCAAACGGCTGATCTACGAGAAGTAGCCTTTTCAATATATACTCTGACCTTTAGCAGAGGGAGTGAAATTCCTTAACAGGAATCAATAGTACAAAATCCTCAACTTCAAACCGTTACAGTAATAAACAGATGTACACTATTTCTATGACAACCACAACTTAAAGAATTATAATGTTGTGGGAAAGGAGGCTAAAACAATTGCATTAATGGTCTTTTTTTTTTTTACTCCCCTCAGGAAAGCCTTTTTCTAAAACCCTTCTCTGTAAATGGTCGATAAAATAAGGCTTTCTGAAATCTAGAGCAGCAATTTTCAACCTTTTTCATCTCATGGCACACATAAACTAATTACTGAAATTCTTCGGCATACTAAAAAACATACTATATTTTTGCCAATCTAACCAAAAAATAGGTATAATTTTGATTCATTCATACTGGACGGTTATTGTTGTGTTGGTTGTTGTCATTTTTCCATTTGACAATCTAAGGGGAAAGAGGTCATTGCCCTCGACTAAATAGTCAGATACTGCATATTTTAAAAATTCTTTCGATACATTGGTTGAAATGTGCTGATCTAGAGCAAGAGTTGGAAAACAATAACTTGTGTGCCAAATCTGACCCACCACCGGGTTTTGTAAATAAAGCTTAACTGAAACACCACCACAAGCATTTGTGTATGCATTGACTATGGCTACTTTTGAGCTACAATGGCAGAGGGCAAGTACCTCTGACAGAAATCATATGGCCCACACAGCTGAAATTATTTACTATCTGGCACTTCATAGAAAGTTTATCAGACCATGTTCTAGAGGATTTACCACTTAACATTACATATACACACCAATCAATACACACTATACTCACAATTGAAAAAAACTAAAATCCTGAGCCATTTACACACCTGGGAGTCTCAAAATTAAAGAACGATAATCTTGAGAAGCATGTAATACTACAAACATTTAGTGCCCAGGATGGCCAAGATCAGGGCAGAAGGAAATAATCCGTCACAGAGAGTCCGGGTCATGGGATTAAGATTTACTGATACCAGACTCATCCGTATATCCAGACAGTCACCTCATGATGTCAGAGATATGACAATACATTTTCACAGATATTTTTGGTTCTCGAGAGATGTCATTCAGGCTGATCTAGGGCAGTGGTCTGCCACTTGAGATCTGTATCTGCTTCCCCCTCACACCCTCAGCACCCTCAACAGCACCCACAACTTGAACTCGGGTCACACATGTAGCATCCACCCTTGCTACCCCTAACCCTCACTGCCTTCAAGAGCACTTCTCTGCCTTTACAGAGCAGTGAGCCTCTAGCTAATTAATCCTGCCAACATGCTCTTTGGAACAAAGTAATGTTATCCTCACTTGAAAGAGACCTGTCTTTCCCAAAGCTATCTTTTGTCACATCTTTCAGAATGGGGCCAAACTCACCCTTCCCCATTTCCTCTCCCAATCGTCAGCTTTTAAGCATCAACTCTTGAGTGTATGAACACACACACACACACACACACACACACACACACACAGACATAAACACACACACACACAGACATATACACAGAGACAGACATACACACACACAGACATAAACACACACACACACACACACACACACAGCAATGGTTTTTCCAAGAACTGAGAAAAGCAGCTGAGCTCAGCAGGAAATATCTCTAAAAGATAAGTATTTTGTAGGGCTAAATGTTAAAAGACTACTATCCTGCTTTATGCATTACCAAAATGGATATCCTTGCCTTTTCAGGAACTCAAGGGTTAATTAGATAAAATGTTAGAAGATGTCTTCCATCACAAAGCATCATCCCAGATTTACGGCAGTCCAGAAAAGTCAGGCCAAGCCCCAAACCAGGCAAGACAGCCCTGCTCTGTTCTATTCACCTGCACTACATAACCACTGGTCCTTCTGAATGGAGGATTGGTGCAACCGGAGACACACGTGTGGCTACTGCCTAATAGGACATTCTCAAACTGAACAGACAGGGCCAGCACTGACCCAACACTGTGAACCTGGAAGGACGCCATACACATGAAAGGAGAAAAGAAAAACCTCAAAGACTGGCTTCTGAGGCAGGAAACCTCCCTAGTTCAGGCAAGCAGTCAGCCTTTGTGAAAAGAGACAGCCGCAGAGGAACGGAAGGCCCCGTATGTTCCCACTGCTAAAAGACATGCCACTTGGGCAGAGGCAAAACTTTACCAGCCCTTTTCTCTCAGTTTTAGGGGAAGGAAAGATATGCCACTCTCACTGTCTAGGCAGGTGTATCGTTATATAACAAATATTTCTGCCAGCTGTACCCCCACCACAAACTAAATTACACTTTCAACACAATGGCTAGGTCTCCAATGTATTCACTCATTAAAGGCAGAGTTCCATACTATGTTTCCATTGGCATAGCATGTTTAATGCTGTATATGTCAAGTAATCTTTAATCTCTAAGTACATTTAGATACTGCTATGCCAAGTCTTTTCAAATCAGTTTTGGGGAGAGGCAACCAAACTTGTTTCAGTTTAGATTTAGGAGAAAAATTATATCAGCCCAAACGAATTATGTGCACTTCCTTAAACTGATGCCTCCTGGGTGTCCAAGGTGGATTTAAACCTGGTTCGACTCTATATGTTAAAAGAAACTATCTTTAACAATTACTAGAACATGACCAAACAACAGTGTTGTAACAATCAAGCAAGTTATCATTTGCAAATAAATTCTTTGTAATTAAGCAGTATGCTCTTTATAAGGGGAATTGAGTGGGCGAAGTAAAAAGTTAAAACACATTCTCAGGCCATGGGAAAGATACACAAATGCTTTTTCACTAAGCTCAAGAGTTTTCAGTTTATTGTTTTCTTCCTCATCTGTTGTAGGTCTATTGTGTACAGTGGGTGAGCAGAATTTCTTAGAAAATAGTTACAGTGACTGAATAATTTATTCACTCACTTCCCAAAGTTATGTAGAACTTAGCAATTTTGTGGCAAAGGTAAAAAGTGTAATTTCATTTTCCACTAACTGAAGTTGTACTGACTGTCCCTCACTAAAAATATAAGCAGATAGCAAACTTTGCAAAGAAACTAGTTACATGAAAGTAGCATTAACTTATTTGGGATAAATTCCTCATAGGGTCTCTGCAAACTCTATTACCACTTCCAATGGGAAGGCAAGTACTTACTTCTGGGTTCCCGGGGTCCATCCACTGTAACTTTAATAGCTCTGTGATAGGTGGCTACTTGGGGAGGATTTGTGAAGACAGTTATGGTCAAGGTGAAACTCTTGCCTGCAGATGTAAAAGAGGAAAATCCATAGTGAATATAAAAGATAGTATTGATGACAATATAACAGCATAGATGTCCAAATTTCATTTACTCGAGGTAATGGAACAAAGATAGAGTCAAGACACCTTATTCTAAATTGGAATCTCTCTGATGGCCACTATAAGAGGTACTAAACTCAATGCATGTTAAGATCATCATCTTCATTGCAGTACTATACAAGGAGGCTCCAATTTAAGAAGAAGAAAAAAACAAAAACCTGCTCAGTAGCAAGAGTTATAATGAAAACAAAAACCCTGGTCCACTTGAAGAGGGTTCTCTTCCTTTCAGTTCTCTTCAACATCAGGAACACATCCAAGCCAGACAATTTTAGAAGTCTTTATTTAGGATTAGGTCATGACCCCATGAGAGAACAATAGTAAATCACTGTTGATTATGTTATTTACTTCACATGGCTTTAGCATTTCATTTGCTTAACTGCACTACAATAAGAAGATGAAAGAGGAAGGTTCTTATGGGAATCATTTTAACAGGAGCCAGTGTCTCCTGTCCTGGCCTTAATGTGCCTGTGGTATGATGATTTCATCATTACTGGAACAAAGATTTTCTCCTCCCTGCCCACCCCTTCCCTAACATACATCCTTGCTATTAAATCTTGAAATAACTCCCTGACAGTGACTTATTTTTGCTAAGTGTACAGGACATGTCCCAAAGTAAATAAGAATTTTTGCTTTTAGCAGAGAGTATACTTCATGGAAATAGCACCTCTGATGTTTCTAACTGATGAGCTAAAAGTGATGAACGGGGGGAGGGGAAGACAGGGAAAAGTTTGGTAGCAGATTAGGATTTCTTTCTTTCTCCAGAAGAAGATACCAGACTCTGTTACACAGACTCACTGACAGTTGTAATCAGTTAGATTTGCAACGGTTAGTCATGTCAGATAGTCAGGACTGCAAACTGTTACAAGACAGGAAAAGGTGGGCGTGAAACAGTGACTCAATAAAACATTCAGCAATCTCAGGCCAGAGTATTAATTTAGCCTGCTCCTGTAACAGACCTTTAAAAACCTCATTTTGTTTTGCTTTGTTTTTTAGTCAGACTGTTTTTTCCCTTTACTGAAAGCTGAGGGTATTAAATCAAAACACAAATCTTAAACAATATGTATCAATGCAAAGTTTAATGCAATCTTTTCAAAGCTTAATATGGAACAGGTTATACACAAGGCTTAATGTAGAACAGGTCTTTGACTGTCAAGTCTCGTGAATGGGTTTTCTTTTCAACCCGAACCATGTAAGTTCCTAAAATATGTTTAAGACACACATCATTTGTTACTTGGTATATATAGTTTTAAGTCTCTTCAGCTATACTTTTCTGTGCCCAAGAGAAGGGAAAAAAGAGAGAGAGAGAGAGAGAGAGAGAGAGAGAGAGAGAAGGGAAGAAAACACAGGAATGCAAGGAAGGAGAAGATGAATATTGATTAGAAGCCTACTAAGTGCTAGCACTTCATACACATTATCTCATTTGATCCTATTCAGTTAGGTTTATCACCTCCATTTCACATACGAAAAAAACTGAAGCCCAAAGAGGCTTAGTAATTTACCCACGCAGCTAATAATTAGAAAAAATCAGGATCTGAGCCTAGTTCTTTCAGACCCTAAAATGAATGCTCTTCTTTTTAACATTGCCAAAGAACATTAAAAAAAATTAATAAGCAATTTATTTCTACATGTGTCCCAATATGCTCTATAAGACGAAGAAACAGTAAATATAAATCTACTAACACAGTATCTTGGCCAGGATGATGAAAGCATCTATTCTTAAAGTGTCATTAATATATCATAGTTCATCATTATACACTGGATGTTACATGGATGTAAGTGGTTTAATTATCTCATTAGAGAACAGGATTTATTATATATATTAAAACTAACCAGAAGAATAAGGCAGCCAGGAGTCTAAACTAGCAACAGAAAACTTAAAGTCCACAGAAATCGAGAATAGAAAGTTGGATAGGAAGCCACTAGACACAGGTGAGGATCTCAAAACAATGGGAAGATCTGTCTGGAGGAGCGAACAGGCTGAACCCTCGGCTGAAAGTTAATGTACGTGAAACCATAAGAAGACGCCCTTCTCACAGCTCCTCCAGAAGGAACACGAAAGAATGTTCAAAAACCTTCCAGAAACTACCACCCAACTAGGTAATTGGTTATTCACCTTATAAATAATAATACATTTCCTAAGCCAAATGTTTATGTGACTATTTATTATTTCCTTAAAGTGGAAAAAAAAAACACCTTTTTCCAAATCCCATTTTTTTATCACTTTCCATAAATGATAAAAATTCAGGCTCCTACTTTAAAAATGCAGGCTCTTATTGAGGAAGCTAGCACTCATTAAACAAGTAACTGTATCATTCATAGCTACATCTAGGAACTAGCAGTGTACATGTCCTCAAGACATATATATTTTCTAAGATAAACACAGGAACTGCCATTAAAACACAATTCCAACTAACCTGAGGGGCTGTCAGGAATAGTCAGGAGGGCTAAGACTGTAAGCAAGGCTTGCACTCTAAACTGACAAAGTCCCAAGCTTTGTATACCATAGGTGCTTAAAAATGCTTATAAATTAAAAGCAGCATGCTTGATGTCAAAAGTGAAGAAGCATACCCAGAAAACTTTAAGAACCAAAGTCATTTGAAATTCTTCTGTTTAAACTATAAAGGCTAAAAAAGGAAAAGACAATTAAAACACATAAGCCACTCCTGACTTCATGCAAGTTTCACTGATGCTCTACTTTTACTCCAAAGTACTTCCAAAAGTTGTGGTGATTAGATAACCCACGAAGCCAAAGTAAGTAGTGATGTGACTCTTTGATCCAAAACTGTTTTTCAGTTTCTGAAGTTTATATTTCTACCAGTGAAAAGAAAAACTGTAATAATTTGAGGAACTGGGTGTTAATGTGTGTTTTTTTTTTTTCTTTTTATTGATTTTTAGAGAGAGAGGAAGGGAGAGACAGAAACATCCATGAGAGAGAACATCGATTGGCCGCCTCCTGCATGCCCCCCACTGGGGATCGGGCCCACAATCTGGGCATGTGCCCTGAGCGGAAATTGAACCTGCGACCTCTTGGTGCATAGGTCGACACTCAACCACTGAGCCACACCAGCCGGGCCGGTGTTGTTTTAAATGCTACTGAAAATAGAACATTTTAAATTGCTGGGAAAAAATACAGTGGTGAGCAGTGTGTTGATCCAGACTTAATAACTCAAGAGAAATGTAGAAGTGTGAAAATCAAAGAGGAAGCTAGAAAGAGTCTGTTAGAAAACAGGTCAGGTACACAGCAGGTTAAAGGGTTTCCTGCCACTGAAAAACTGACCCATTTTTTTTCAAAGCATGGGATCTCTTATCAATGTTCTCTGTCCCTTTTTACTCTTCGTTTCAGCTTGATATTACTGTTTCCTTTCATATAATGTTAATGTAGTGATATAAAAATCTATTATTAGTGATAAATCAATTTTTCTTTCTCTCTCCACCCACTCACCCCCCCACCCCCCATCTAAGTCTCGAAGACAAGTCTGGACCAATTTCTCCATCCTGCCTCTGGCAGCAGACTGTAGCATTTCAGATCCTCCACCAAGTCCCGGCTGCTTCAAAGGAAAAATCCTACTTTCTTCAGTTAAGATCATAAGAAATATAGGGGGAGGGGGTCAGCTCTGTTTGGACATAATTACACTTCATCAAAAGAAGCTTTCTTCATCTTCCATGCGTGAAAAGTCTGCAAGCAGTTAAGTCTGTCTTTTTTTTTTTTTTTTAAATATAAAAATTGCTATTTGGGAAACCAGCCAAAACTCAGAAAGCCAATATAGTAAAACAGTGCACACCCTTTGTTTCTCTTTGAAGTTTCTTAAATAAATATGTTGAGGGTTTACAAAGTACACTATCACTTTGCCATAGTTTCTACTCAAATTGATCAGAGAAAAGTTATGCAGCATCTACATAATACAAAAGCAAGATAAATGAAAACACTAGCCTGAATCTGTAAAGTAAAATAAAGTATAACACCCAATATTTTAAATACTAAAATTCATTACTCTAGTTAAAAACAAAGTAATATTACATAAGAACGATGTAATTCAAAGCATACAGGTAAATCATCAGGTTCAAATTTTTCTTGATTCTTACTAGAAAAGAGAAGCTTTAATTGTGCTGTGGACCTGCACCAATAACTGAGAAAAAAAAAAAAAAAAGAATGAATACACACACATACACACTTCACACCTAATCAGTCAATAGTGAGAGAAGATGTGTCTTTTTTTTTTTTTTTTAATGAAAGTAAACTAAACCTGATGCACAGATAACCCCTTAGTTTTGATTCTACCATAGGCCTTGAGCCTCATTTTATTTCAAACAACCTTTCAGTGACAATATCTCATTAGCATGTATCATTTTATTTTAAGTTAAAAAGTACAACTTCTTGGCCTTGTTCCTAGAAAGTAAACTAAAACTACTCATCGGAAACAGCCTTGCTTGAATTTCCCTTATCAAGTTTTTACAATGGTAATAATTTGACATCTGATCCAAACTAAAGAGCAATTACTGAACATGGTTTAAAAATTGATGCTTCTCATTTCCTAATTCAAACCTGGGTTGGAGTAATTCCACAGGTCTTTATAATTTATTTCACCTCAGTCCTAAAGTGGTCTATTTTCTCTCTTATTATTGAAATACTTAAAATGGAAATATTAGATTCAATAAATAAATAAATGAACATAATACTTCTGATGAATGACTATTAAAAGTCTCTCTACAGAATAAGTAAATAAAGCCAAAAACCAGTTTCCTTAGAGACTTTTTTTAAAACATTAAGCCCATTTATAAAATAGCTATTAAAACCCTAAAAGGGATTATTTTCTATTTTATAATCTTTTTTAAGGATTCCTAATATTTGTATATGGATTCAGATGGGGTAAACTTTTAAATAATGTGCAAATATTTCAAGTCCTGATCATTCATCTGTCTAAGCAACTATATAGTTATTCTAACACAAGTAACACATTATTCATTTATTCAAATAAAAAGTCTTTTGTAAAAAAAAAAAAAAAAACTACGATTTTTAAAGAGAGTTTTATTATAAGAATAAATGAACTCATATAGAGGTAACATATGTGATAAGTGAAGTGCATTATACCAGCTGTAGAGCAAAACTGATATCAGGAAATTGATCCAATGCATTCCTTTTTCTTTCCCCTTTGCCTCTCAATTTACTCAGCTATTTGGCTCCTCATAAGTCATAACTTGAACCTCCAACTGTTCTTCTCTCCACCTTATATGAAATTAGGAACGAGTTCTCTGAAAACATTGTTTGAATATTCAATATCATAAAACAAATGAAAAAGGCCTGAGAACTCAGAAAAACACTCAACTTCATCTGGACATATTTAAATAAAATTCTTCAGTAATTCTATTCAGTAGAAGAGGGTGCTGATTTGTATACAGACTAGCCTACATGTGATCAGAGGATCCAAATGTGTTTATTCCATTACCAATATTAAAAATCAGAGACCTACCTCGTCCACTCCGGCCCACAAATCTCAGATCGTTGAACCTTGCTACTTGATTTTTCATAACAGCAGAAGCATTTCGGAGCTCAGCAGAATAATTTTCATCGTTACCCGCCATGACAGTAACCACAGTCCCATCTGGTACCTCTCCGAGGGCTACCACCTACATAAAACAGGAAACACAGCAGCAATAATGGAACATCAGAAAAGCTTAAAAACTGAGAATATATTCTCAAGGCCAATGACGTGTCTTATCAGGACTTAGTGCTCTAGTCCGGTAATGGCAGACAGGAATGAAGCATCTGCATATGGGTTAGGATGCCACTTCAAACAGACCAACGTTTCAGGGTCCACCCATTTCAAAGGCAGGCACAAGTTTCCTTCATTCATTGTTGCATTCTTCACCAAATACATGTACATTTTTATTAAATCCCCATGTTAGGTTGTCCATAGGAATTATGCCACAGAAGGAAGGCTGATGCCCCATCTGCAGATTGCATCGTGCATATTAAGGCACTGCCTGTCTGCAGCCTGGAGCACCCTGAGGTGTGGTCTCATCCCGATCACAGGCTAAAGAAGGAAATCTAGTCAGTTCTACGGAAGAAGGCATTTAGGTGAAACCCTGGAGCTCCTAAGTACATGGGAAGCCTAAACATGGTGTGGCATCCAGGACTACATTTCATCTCCTTACTTTTAGTTAGATATTCAGCTTTTAATCATCCTGCAAATAATTACTAATTGCCCACTCTATAGTAGGATTCAGTGAGACATGAAAGCCATCAAGAAGCTTAAAGTCTAGGTGCAGAATAAAGACAGGCTGATAACAATCACTGACAAATGAGTAGTATACAGAATATATACCCTTAGCCAACCTTCTATTCTGCCTTTGTTCCATCTGCCATCTTGGAATGATACATTTGCCGCCTTAACCTTCAACAGTTAACCTTTAGCAGATTAACTCAGTCAAGGAAGGACCCAGAATAACCAGTCTTTAAGGCTAATAAACATTTTCACTGATCCAAGGTTAAGAATCACACTTTTTACCAGGGTCAGCTAACTTGCAAATGGGCACCTTTGATTAACATGGGGACTGTTAAGGGAATGCTGGTGCAGAGCCTTTGCTGTCACGAATAAAACACAATATTCCTAATCCATTGCCAAGACCCTGACCCTTGATAATGCCCTTTCTCTCAACTAACTTCCAGGATCCTACATTCAGATGATTTCCATCTCTTCCTCATTCAGCTTCCAGATGCCCTCACGGTGACGAAGCAACCACTCCTCTCTGACATTAACATCCATATGTGCTTACCTGTCTGGCAAATAACCCACTCCTCTTTCTCCTACTTTTAGTGCTACTCCCTCCTTTGCCAAGATTTCTGTAAAGCAAACCTAAGCATTTAATTTCGTCCTCCCAATACAATGTGTGCATGTTCTCATCAAAGCTGATTTCTCAGACTATGATAAAACAGACACTGTAACCATACGTTAGGGCTTAATTTTCCCCACCCATAAACCCTAGCCCAACACTCCTCCACTATACCCTCTGCTCCAGCCAGGATAAAACAAAAACAAACAAACAAAAAAAAACTTGTCAATATTTTTTTACCTATACTTTTTTTTTTAGGCTGTTTCTTTCAATTCCATTCCTTCGTTAGCACTTTGTTATTCAGTTTAAAATCCTAAAACTTTCCTTAAGTTACTGAAGCCACTTCCACAGTTACAGCATTCCACTGTACTCAAATGATCCTCATTTCAATGTGTATATATTACTGATTTATCTACTCCTTTTGATATACTAGCCCAAAACTGTGGGACTCACACCTAGGAGTCAAGATTATGTAAAATTGGAAACTACAAGAAGGAAGAGCCTTCATCTGTCTTGATCAGCACTATATGCCCAATTCCCGAAACTGCGTGGCACACAGTGTTTGATAAATATCTTTGAAATAAACAAATGAAAGAGCTAAAAAAAAAAAAAAAGGATCAGGTCTTACAGCCAATAGTCTGTGAGGCCACCAGATAAAACTCTGAGAGAGAACCAGTTAAAGGTTGAGCCAGCATCTCCCTCTAGCAGCAATACGCCCTTGCTCCAAATTAGTTTTCTGACAACTTTTTCCATCCCAGAGGAGAAGGAATCATGTCAAATAGCCTTTACTCATAGTATATGGTTACTATATTCAATCTGAGAAGACTCCCGGGTCAAGGGTAAATGCCCTGAGAACAGGATTCCTTCCCTACATACTTGATCTAGTGCCCCAAGTGGCTACTGACTATATAGGTAATACCAGACTACTGATGGGGGCAATGTGCTTTTCAATTTTTCAAATTCACAATGCCAAAAATGTGAATATTTGAAAATACTGAAATAATTGACTATGTTTGCCAGGCTTCATCCGAATGTTTGACATTTTTTTACACTCAGAGTATTGTGTTTTAACACCTGCTGTGTGGCATTCTATGTCAAAGTCAATATGGAACAAGTAAGGGTATTAATGAAGGCAGAAAAGTTGTACTGTTTAGAAGAGAATGAATGCAGCAAAACTCGAAAGGCCCCACTTTTTTCCCACCTCTGCTATAATCTCATACAAGTAACTTCATCTCCAGGAACCAGTTTTCCAATATAAATTGGAAACATTTTTTTAAGTCTGTAAAATGTAGAAGATATTATATAAGTACAGAGTGTAATTATAATGATGTTCTTTTTGTAAGAGGAGGAATCTCACTTCTGTTCCAAGTCTGCTGTGTGGTAAACATAGGTTTTTACTTAGGAGCATCCTTAAAGGTTTCAATTGCATATGTAATTCTTTACTTCATGTCCTGAGATGTTTTTTGTTGTTGTTGAAAGATAAAGGATAACTGCTGATGGGTTTCACTTCAGTTTGGCTAAATTTCAGAAAAGAAGTAAAAAAAATATGCCCCAATATGAAGATTTTCAAGAGCTCTGGGACATTATTATTTTACTGCATATTTTTAACATAATGGGGTGTGTTTTTTTTTTCAGTTAGAAAAGAAAATTGATTCAATATGGGAAAATATGAAATAAAAGATCCCTAAGAGTGAAATACATAAATCCATTTTACTTTCCTTAAGCAGCATAATAATGACCATATTAAATACTGGTATGTCTTACGTATTACACTTAATAAGAAAACAAATAGATAATCACAAATTGTGAGTCTTCTATGAGGCTTAAAACTTGGCCTAAAAAAAAAGCTAACTGAAATAACATAGTGACAACTTTTCCTGTTATGGCTGAACTCTATTTTAATGGTTAAATATATTGTTGTTGTTTTTTTCCCTGCTATATATTCTACCAAGTCACATTGCCTGATGTTTTTCTGAGGGACAGGAGAGGGGGGTACTGTATTTGACTTTATATCAATCAGAAGCATAATTATATGTTTGAGAAATTTTTTAAAGTAGATCTCTGAAGCTAAAAAGTGTCCCTTAGAGATTCTCAACTGTGTTTATCTAAAAGAAAACCAGAAGAATCAATAAATTTTTGCATATTTCATCTGTACCAAACCTAAGCAATGGAAAACATTTTAAGGGGCAGAGAGAGAGCAGTCAAAAATTACTCTTTAACTAGTTAGGAGTAAGCACACATTAAGATTTGTTTCCATGCTACCCAATACAAAAGTTCTGTTCTACAAAGAATAATTTGTGATGAAACCTTAACAACTACATTTCTAGGTGTTTTTAAAACATAAAATCTACAAATTTAAGAAACCTCATGGGAAAGAGAGAAGTAATTTTATGTCCTGACATTTCAGAATTGAGAAAGTTCCTTTATTTAGCGCACCTCACTATAACTAGCATTTAAATCACATGATATGCAGCTTGTACACAATAAAGGATATTTAACTCTAGAAACGTTACTGAAATTTTGTATGAGACTCCTTATGACTGAATCTGTAAATTATTCTGAAAGAGGAGCAATGAGAATTAACTCAGACCCTTAAAATTGTTTTTGTGGTCTTATTATACGGAAATAAAAATTGCCCATTACATTTCCATGAACAGAAGTCTAGTCTTAACTAATCAATTACTCTTACAGACCAATATCATTTGGCATGTTGTACTTATAGCAAAATTGAAATGTAATTATTTTTCAAGATAGAATCTGATCAAATCTTTCTTTGGAATAAAAAGAGAGGTAAGGAAGTAGCAATAAGAAAAAATGTTAATCCTATGGTAATTATTTAAAGATAACTTTAAATAAATTATCAAAAACTTTCACAAATGTTACAGATAATTTTTCAACTTTAACCTAGAATTTAGGAACCTGACTGAATTGCAGAGGAAAAAGTAAACACAATATAAAGTATCATTTCATTTTTTTTTAAATATATGTCAAAGAGAAAATTGATTAAAATTATTTCTGTTTAAGCCAGGAATTTATGTGCTGTTTCAAGCTGGTTTAAATTGTCTAACGATGAATATTCTGAATTTTTTTGAAAGGATACAAACGGCAACTACAAAGGGAAAATATAATGAAAGATAGTTATGTAAGTTTTCTAAAAAATTTTTAAATACTTGTTTTCTATTTAAAAATTTTTATTTCAATTACCTTACCAATACGTTTTATCTATTCAATTCTAACATTTTTAACTGCAAATGATTTTATTGTATTTAAAGACATTATACAAAAATGTGTCTCTCTTGAAATCTATTGTGATTTACATAATTTTGTATAACGATTTATAGTAAGCTTTATGAGGTTTTAACAGGTTTAATAACCTATTTTTCTTTGTTTAGGTATAATTACATTTAAAAAGACACAAACATAAAATCTGACCAGTAACTATCTAAGGAAAACATAACTCACTTGTGTCAAATATTTATTAATTGCATACTTGTTTCTGAAAATAGGCCAATAATCGAAAAAATTATTTTCAGAAAGAAATTGCTCCATCATTTTGAAACCCTACTTATGACAAATACTGAAAGCTATCATTAAACATATAGAATTAACTATGAGTGATAGATCATATATCTAAAAATGTGTTTTCATTAACATTGCCAGAAAAACATATGATACTGGTAAATATATAGTCCAGTGTTCTCTAACTTAAAACGTCGCAACAGCCTTGCGCTTACTTTTAGTTTTAAAATATACATCTGGACTTAAATTTCTGCATAGTGTTTCAGCTTGAAGCTATTTAAAGCAACTGAGTTATAAACCCTGAACACCAGGCTTCATGGTGGAAATGCTGACAGACCCCTAACTCTAAGGGTGCTACTGGATGCAGGGTCAAAGTACTCTCTCACTATTTCTATCTGCCCATTAACTAATAAGATGAGTTTGCAAATTGCTTTTTGTCACTAGAATTTCAAGGACAGAAAGGCCTGGGATCTTCTAATAGTATGCCTTAACTATTTTAAGCTTTCAGTGAGATGCACCTGAAAGAAATGTTAAAAATATTTATGTCCATTTCCTTGACACCTGGGAGGACTGAACATTTCAAAACTGCAGAACTTTGTTAAAAATACAATGCTAATAAAAAAAAACTTTACATATTTTAAAGTATGCTGGTTGTTTCTGCATTTTTATGAGTCAAATATAAACAAATTAGGTATTCTTGTATAATCCCCAAGATCAAATGAACAACTGCTGACACATTACTTAGGACTTAATACAATAACACTGTCAATATCATTTTGAAGCACTATTTTAAATTAACATATCAAAAACAGTCCATCGAATTCATTTCTGATTCTCTACAGTGGTGAGCTCAGTGTGACAAACATAAAATACAGGCTCAGTAAACACTGTATTGATTTAAATATCAGTACAATTCAATTTTCTGTGTGTTTTAAAATCTATTTACCTGTCTGTTACATACCCAGTAACACTATAATTTACTTTGTACATGGCTCTAACTATCATAGCCAAATTGTTCTCACCACTTTTAAAACTGAGACTTCATATTATTTCTTGATTGCAGATGTATTTGATTTTGTTGCAAGTGTAGAAAGCCTACTGCTCCTCAGGTTCTTATCTCAAAAGTAAGGTAAAGAGAGTGTTGTTACTAACATTCAGATGAAAACAAAAATTGCTGTCTATATCTGGATGCTTCAAATATCTACACATCCTTTTCAGCAGAGACCAAACTTCTATATTAAGTGGATCTCAGCTATCACCTGCTATTTGAATTTTGTTAAACGAAGGAAGGTATGGGGGTGGGAAAACATTGAGACTTCACGTTTTAGATTAACTCAATTTCTTTTTCAATAAATATGAATTAAATAGTTACTTTAGTATGGCCATGTGTTATCTATGGCTTTATTTTCTGGTTACAAGTAAAACCACTCTAATTAACAAGAATGATTAATAGCAAAGAAAGCAATTTCTTTTCAAAATAATTTTAAAAGGTGCAAAACCCTAAGAACAACCAAAATCTGAGAATAAGTCAACCTTGCATTCTACCCGTATGCCAAAAACATCCCTTCTATCTAAAATACTAATATTCAAAATCAACTCAGTACCATAAATGTGAAAGAATAGTTCAAAACAGTTATACCTTAAACATGTTTAGCAGAATAAACGGAATGCAGACCATTAAACACCTAAATGATATCTTTAAAAATGTAGGCACTTATCCTTAAATTTTCACATATCCTGACTTGTGGCACTGTATAAACAAAATATCTACTTATTTGTATTTGCTGTTTTCATCTAGGTTTTTTTGTGTGTGTTTGGGATTTTTTTTGGGGGGATGGGGTGGAAATAAAGGCTACTTAGAAAATTCTGGGCCCTTGAACAATGAACATTGTAGAAAATATCTCCTGTACAGATATTTACATTTCTACAATATTCTGAGTTTTTCATGTTTCAAGAAGAAAACCTACAAAATGGGTGATTTATAAAAGGAGAAATGGGACCGTTAAAAAAAAAAAACATACTTTTCAAGAACCAAGTGCAAAATGAAACTTGCCCCAGAAGGCAACATCCCCTTTTCCATAACAATTCCTTCTGATTTTTGTTCTGATATAAGACCTAGGGAGATAATCAGCTCTAACTGACCTGGCTCCTCTTCCTTTCCACCCCACCCACACACGGAATCTGAACTGATTGGGAGGGGGGAGGGGGGAGGATCAACTACTGGGAACTGCCAGTGGCCCGTGGGAGTTTGGCCCCAGGGTCCACAGTGGAGAACCTGGCAGGATTCCCCCTTTTACCCTTCACCCCACCCCATGGCCTTGCTAGCCTGCTCCTCACAGACCCCAGAACCCCACCGTCCCAGGCGAGACAGGGCCGGAAGCGGCTTCCGAGTGTCTTCTCCCGGTCCGGCTCCACCGCCCCCTGCATCCCGGCGTCCAGCCCCGCGAGCGAGGGCTGCCCGGGAACCCGCTTCCCTCCAGCCCGGCTTGGCCGGGGGGCTCCGCGTCTCCCCCTGGCGAGGGCCGCTGTGGCAATCCGGGTCACATTCCTGACAGCTATCAGGACACTGCCCCCGACCTCGGACCCGACGCCCGCAACCTGCCGAGCCGCGGGACACCCGCCCTCCAACTAACGGGCCGGCGGCGGAGGCGGCCGCGGAGGGCGCTCCCAAACCGGGTCACTCCCTCCGACCCAGGACGCCGGCCGGGCCTCCCACCACCTCCCAGAAACAGGAGGGACCCCTGGGACCTAAGTCCTTCTGAAGTAATAATAACAAAAGTCACAAAACTTCACCTCAGATGCCAAGGCGGGCGAGCGGAGAGCATGTCGCAGGTTTCCCCGGTCCCCGCCAGGCTGGGCGAGGCGGGGAGCTCGGTCCCGGCGGGAAGAGGCGGCCCGAGCCCCCGCCCCCTCAGCTGGCCCGCGCCGCCCGCACTCGAGGGTCCGGGGCCCGCGCCTCCCGGGCTCCCCCGCCTCGGGGCGCGCGGCGACCCCGGCGGCCCCGCCTTCCTCCCGGTAACGGGAACTGGCGCGAGTGTGCGAGCCCAGCGAATGCCCGGTCCCGGCTCCCCCTCACATGCTCCCGGAGTTCCGAGGTTTGCCTGCGACCCTCTGGGGCACCGGTGAAGCGGCCCACGCGCCGCAGCCGGCGCCCCGCCCGGGGCGCGAACTCCCGGCGTCGTCACCCCACGAGCACCGATCCCGGAGCCCGGGATGGGCCGGGGCCGCCGAGGCTCAAGCGGGTCAGAGCTGGGGCGCGAGACAGGCGGAGGGCGTGCGGCCGGGCGCGAGGAATCCCGAGGAGGGGCAGCGCGGGCAGCCCGCGGTGCGGGGCCGGCCGGGACGTCCCGGGAGGAGGACGCGGGAGGGGGGCGGAATGCCGGGGATCCTCACCCCTGGGGAATGGGGGCGGGGTGGCAACTCAAAGAGTGGGCACCTGGAGGCTCCTGGGGGAGGGGAGACGGCTCCGATGGAGTAGGTCAGAACTTTGGCCGGGAGGCTGGAGGGGTGATGAATGGATAGGGGGGCCAAGGACTGAGGTGGTGGCTGCGGGCACAGGTGGGAGAGGGGAGGATCTGCGCGGGGTCACTGCGCCCAAGCCTGCTGGGAGATCGGAGGAAGAGGGCCATCCGGGGGTCCCTCGGGTCAGAGCCTCCAAGGGAGGAGGCCTTGGACGCCGTCCGGGCCCGGGCCCCCGCGGTCAAGGAGATGCCGGCGGGCAGGTCCCGCGGCGCCCGGCCGGGGGCGGGGGGCGGCCGCAGCTTCTTACCTTGAAGGCCACGGGCAGGGTCTTGTTGCAACGCCAGTGCGAGGGCAGCACGGAGCACAGGAAGTTGGGGCTGTCGGTGCGGACGAGCTCGGCCGGGTGGTCAGCTATGATCTCCACCATGGTGCGGTTGTCGTGCGGCGGCCGCAACCGTGGCACCGCGGCCGCTGCTGCCGCCGCTGCCGCCGCCGCCGCCGCCGCCGCCGCCGCCGCCTCCTGCTGCTGCTGTTGCTGCTGCTGCTGCTGTTGCTGCTGCTGCTGCTGTTGCTGCTGCTGCGCAGCCACCACCGGGCTCACGTCGCTCATCTTGCCGGGCTGCAGGCTGCTGGAGGGGGGGCTGAAGCGCCGGCTGGTGCTCGGATCTACGGGAATACGCATCACAACAGCCACAAGTTAGCGAAGTGGCCGGGGGAGGGGGAGGAGGGTGGAAATGAGGGGCGAGGAGGAGGAAATTGGGGGGGGTGGAGGCAAGACGGGGGAAAAGGGATGGAGGTGATGGGGCTGAGGAGGTGAGAAATCAAGTTCGATGAAGCAGACTGCCAGGCGAAGTCTGACGGGGGCAGCGGTGGCGATGCCGTTGCAGTCGGGTTGGCGGGTGGGGAGACTCGGGAGGTGCAGATCTTTGCCGGAGCCTTTGGAACACCCCGGGTGGCAGCTGAGAACGGTTGCGGGGATGTGTTTGGCCCGGGGAGGCGGGGGGAGGGGGCTTCAGTTTGCAGCTTAGAATGGGGTCCCTTGGGGCACCGCGTCCTGGGTGCGCTGGCGCCCCCTCCCAGTTTGAGTTCGGCGGTGGAGCCGAGTGGGTTCAGTCCAGCCCCGGGGCCGGCATAGTCGAGCGCTGCCCGCCACCGCCGCGCCGCACCGCGCGCCGCTACCCAGCTGCAGGCAGCCGCGCCGCCGCCCGCCGGCTCAGGCTGCCGCCGCCGCCTCCTCCGCGCGGCCGCCGCTCCCCCCTGCGCCGGCTGCACGCTCAGATTCCTCCCGCGGCGGCTGCCAGCCCGGCTCCCCGGCTCCGCTCCTTCCTGTCCCTTCTCTTCTCGCCCTCTCACTGCCACCTCCTTGCATCCACTCCCTCCTGCTACATGCAAAGTTCCCCTGACCCTCGCGCTTCGAGGTGCCAGGAGGTAAGTCTCGGGCAGCGGATCTCGGGGCAACGGATCTTGAGCATTCGAATAGCAGCCGCTGCCGCCGCCCGCCGGCCGCGAGAAGGAGCCCCCTGAACGCCAAGCGCAGCTTCCGAAGCCGAGAGAGGCGGCCCCGGTCTAGGGGGATCTCGCCCGGTTGCGTCCTCTTGCTTCACCCCGCCTCCCCCCAGGGCTAGGAACCCCCTCTTGGTCCGACGAGGTTGAAGCTGAGACGCCACAGAGCCGCCGGCTGATCTGACTGTCGGTATTTTTCGTAGTAACTTCAGGAGAGGAGGAAGGAAAATTCTTGAGTGTCTGTGCTGACTTCTCAGCACTCTTCACCCTTCCCCCACCCCCCACCCCCCCACCTCTGCCTGAGCGGCTCCCGGGGGAAAAAGGATTTTGCTGGGTTTGGGTGTTTTTTTGTCTTAAGTGACACGAAAAATGGGGAGGGGGACACGCGTCAAAATACTTTTTAGAAACTCAAGTGGGTGGCTGGAGAGTTTTTTTCATCTATGTTCAAACTTGTTCCTAGAGAACAAGGGTGAGTTTTTTTAAGGACTGGAAAACTGTCATTTTAGTGATTAAAATAAGTTGCAAAACCCTTGCTGGGGAGAAACTCTTGCAGTTTTCCATCCATTTCAACCTTTTAATAAGTCTATTCTGTATCTAAAATTAAGTCTAATGTCATAACTTTCTTTCCCACCATTCCCAGGGAAAAAAAGTAAAAATACAAAATAAAATATTCAAAATGCTTCTATGGCTATTTATTTATGTATTTATTTCTCAATGTGGGTTTAAAAAGCGACTTTGGATCCCCCAAAAAGTTGTGGTCGAGAGGATGAAGGAGCGCGGGGGGGAAAGCAGCAGTTTTACCTAAAATGTGGTTTTTGGAGGCTGGGATTTCTAATGATTAGGTTTTTGTGGTTTATATAGACACGACTCTGGCTGAGGCAATCATTACGCTGATGAGAGTCAGAAGCACGTGGGTGTCTCCGACCAGCCTCAAACTCTGAGCCTTCAAAACAAATAAAACAATGTGCGGCGCCCGCAAAAGCCGGGAAATCCGCTTGAGGCTATTGCACCCCTAAGAAGGGGGCACCAGGCCGGTTCCCCTCCACGTTGTGAACTGCTACATTCCTTGCTTACCGTCAAACTCCTTTAAACCTTCCAAAGCTTTTAAACGTGTTTGCAAAAGAGAATCATCAATTGTCAAAGATTCCTAATAAAGTAGCTGACACAATAACAAGTGACTTTATAAATAAATGAAAAATTAGAATGCCTCCACCCCGGAGCATCAAGGAAGCAAGATCGTTGAGTCACCACTGATATCCCCCTATCCTAGGTGAAACAATGGACGTACCCATTAAATGGTGTTTTATTGCTCAGCGCGAACATCTCTGTCACCCTGCAAGAGACTGCCACGACCCTCCCTCTCGGATGTTAAAGTACTACTTCCATTCGCTCAACCAGCGCTGGGGTGTGCGCCTAGGAAGGGTCCTGAAAGAGCTTAGAGCGTGTGGGGGGCACAGAAGAGGGGACCTGGTGCCTGTCACAGATTCTGAAGCCCATTTCAAGTGCAAGATGAACTTGCAGGGCTGTCCCTGAGTGACTTGGAGCCCAGGATTTGCCCTCTATAAAGAGATGCGCCGACGATAGAGGGGCTTTGAACCGCGCGATGGAAGGGAGGATGGTGGTGAGGCGTGCACCCTCGCAGAGTTAAGGATGGGGTTCAGTGGACACCGCTCTGTCCTTCATCTTTGGAGATTTAATTTTACGTTCCCTTTCTCCATCCACAACTCCACGCCTCCCTTGTCCGCCTTTCCCTTTCCCACTTTTTTCTCCACGTTCCCGCCTCTCCCCAAAATCTTCCTCCCCCCTCCTCAACAGACGCGAGCCTCCTCGCCTGGTCCCTCCAGCCTCCTCGGCCTTCCCGCGGGCGCCGGCCGCCCTCCCTGACTTTGAGAAGCATTCTTCACCACTTTGACACTCGCCCCCGGACTACTGGCCTCCCGGCCCAGCCGCCGCAGGGGTGTGAAAACCCACTTATCCAGACGAACTTGATGCGCAACGAGGAACTCAGCTGTCTCCTGCGCGTGCGATTTTTAATTATCGTTTCTGTCACAGGGGAGAGCTCTAACCCCGGGCACCGCTGCGCTGCCTGCGCGCACTGGGGCAGAGCGGTCCCCAGCCGCGGGCGGCTGACCTGCGAAGGGAAGCCAGGCTTACCCCTGGAAAACTGGAAGCAAGACGAGACTGCATCCATCACTGTCCTGCCTTACACCCCCTCCCAAGAACTCAGACACACACTCTTGAACACCCACACACTGACATTCTTAAATACACATACACAACTCATACACATGGATTTTTTTTGGGGGGGGGGGTTTTTTTGGCCTTTTAGCCGGGCCGCTTTAGTTTGGGCAGCTGTTGCCACTGTCTAACAAACATCTCTGACTTGTTCTATATTGTTTTTAAAGGTGTGGCGGCTGCAAAGGAGGGGATTACAGAGAATGGATTATTTCTGTGGTCAAAGGGAGATAGAAATTCAGTAACTACCATAGCAGGTGATATTCCACCTTATCTAAGGTGGTCCTTGTCCTCTCGGGAAGTCCACAGAACAGGGAACTCCCAGGAAATTTGAAGACGCTAAGTAATAGTCAATATTTCAATTATGGGCAACCAAAGGAGGCTTTTTTGAATGACATATTCTGGGGCACTTTGGGTTTCAGTAATATCCGGGGCAATCGCTGTTTTGTCCTTTCTTTGTTTTAGTTGGTGAATAGCAAAATATACAGGCCCCAGTGGTTGAGTACCTTGACCAGGGATTTTAAGGGCAATTTAACCGATGGTGAATTATTTATTTTAACTAATCATATCTGGTAATTCAGCTTTAAAGCCTTCCCTGGGCATCCTCCCTCCACTTCACATTTCAGTGAAACTAACATAAGCAGCTTTTGGAAGTTACTAGTCTTGGATCCCTTAAAATATCCTACAGTTATTTATAATGTGGAAATGAAATTTTCCACCGAATACCCTAACAACATTTCAGGTATCTGGCACAGCAGATTTTCAGCCTCCTTTCAAAATATCCTCTTGCTGAACATTCACACTTTCAACTGGAACTGACTGAGCCCAGAACTGATGATGTCTTGGCTCAGAGCATTATACTTAAAGGAAGAAAACATTTTTACAGACCCCTAAACCAAACCTCTCCTGGTAATAGTAGGCATATAGGAAAACCTTGAAATTTTACATCTGTGTATTTTGTGTAATAGTTTGCATGATCTCACTCAGGTTTCGATTTTCTTCACCCCTAAGTATTTGGAGCAAATCAACCACTAGATTTCTCTTCAGAAATATGTATCTTCTCTGTTATATGTTATGTGATTTTTAAAAAGAAGAAGAACATACGTTTTCTGTGTGTGAAAATGTGGCTACTCTAGAAGATACAAGCATGAGTTTCCCTTTCAAGTCCTTTAATACTTAATGTAACTGTTTAGTAACAACACCTGGTAAATGAGATGTGAAATGATCAAGTTATCTAGTCAAAGAATTGAGCAAAACCCATGCTTTTCATTCAGTTTTTATCTTCTAATCCCTATACTGTACATTATTTTATATATACCTTTTTCTTGATGAAAAGTGGAAAGGTTGCCCTGGCAGGTATGGCTCAGTGGTTGGAACGTTGTCCCATGCACCAGAGGGCACATACCCAGATTGCACTTCCACCCTGGGTCTGGGGGGGTACTTGAAGCAACCAATCAATGTTTCTCTCTCACACATGGACACATTGGCGTTTCTCTCTTCTCTCTCTCTCTCTCTCTCTCACCAATGAATAAAACATCCTCAGGTGAGGGTTTCAAAAAAAGGAAAAAGAAAATGACAAAGTCACTGTAAAATCTTAAAATCATTTTCAACGGACCGGCTAAATTCGGTTAACTTTTTCAGATGTGCAATGGAAAATCATGGACATATTGATGATCCCTAAAGTTTTTAGGTGTAACATGGGAAAACTTTATAAACAGAACCACCTTTAGAGAGTTTTCCTCTGGACGGTGATTGAGTTAAGGATACCTGGCCCTTGGAGAAGTAGTACTGCCCACAGACCAGAAGCTGTCATGCTAGAAACAGTCCATTTGCCAAATCTGTCCTGATGTCTATTTTTGTATGATCCACTGGCTAAGAATGGTTTTTGTATTTTTTTAAAATCCTTGGGAAATATTACAAGAAGAATA